TCCACGGTTGATTTCTCAGCATCAGCAAGTGCTCCTTCAAATACATGATACCTTTGCCCATTTGGAGCCCAACGCATCCCTGAGAAGACATCTGTGTCAGCACGGCAACTTGCTTGGTCTTGAATACATCGACGTCCTACTTCTCCGCACGGAATCGGTCCACACTCCGCTTCGAGTGTACCGTCATCGAAAACGGTGATTCGGGTTATCGCCTGAATGAAATCGGAAAGTAATTGTCTCGGAACATTTGGGTCACGGAAGTGAAACTGATAAGTCAGGAATGAGGTTATTTGTCATCAGTCTAGATTTGTGGCGACCACTTACAGACACCTAAATAAAAGCAATTGGACTGAGGAGAGTGGAAAGCAGTTCTCTCATGTGCAAAACTACGGGAGTGCAACGTCCAACGAACCGAGGAGTACGAGCCCTTACTCACCAGCGCTATACTCAAATTTTCCATAAATCTAGACTTCAGATAAATGACTGATCGATCAAGTGACATCGATTTCCAGCGTTTCGGGGGATTTCGCGAACCTTTGAACAATCTCGTCCTAATTTGCCCGAGAACAAGAGTGAAATTACGTAATGAAGACCCGGTCTGGCAATGGAAGCAATTTTCATGATATTTCTAGACTGATTTCAGGGTTTCAGAAATATTTCTAGGCTGACGATTCTGTAAGCTCTGAGTCCCTTCCGGGAAGGCTAGCTAACGCGGACCCAAGGTACAACATCATGTAGATGTCTTTCAATACACTCCTCTCCCAAATTTCCTTCTCCAGAACGTTCTCCCTTCTCATAGTCAATCTAGCTTTTACCGTCTATCATCAGCAAATCTTGAAATTTCACCCAGCGGGAGGGAAGGGGGATACTTCCGACCAACCTCCAGAAATAGGGTAGTAGTTGTGCCTTATGCACCACGCGCCAGCTAGTGTGGTGTGGGGGTAGGGCACATGTAAAAAGAAAAAAATCAAAAATCTGGAAAACTTTATTATGTGGTCAAATACGACTGAATTTTTGGATTAAGCAGACTTCCTATAACCCGTGCTGAATTTGTGTAAGGAAAAAACACATACAGTTGTCGCAATCAGTCGGGGCGGTATCAGCAGGGACTGAATGAGCCCGTCTTCGGCTACCTTTTCCACCAATAGTGGTTCAGGAAGAAAACAACCATGGTGGAGACGTTGAGGGTGGGACTATTTCATAGCTCCTGACAGCGCCCCGACTGAGATATCGACTATTCTTGTAATAGTCCCGGCGTGTGTCACGCCATGGTGAAAGTCACGGTATTGGATAAAATTGCAAGGACCACTACCATCATAGGAGAAATTCATGCGCGACTCAGTACAGATGATGGCCGGTCAGCGCTGAGAGGGCTACTACTTTCATTTACCAATTTACGTGGTATTATATGACCCACGAAAGTTAACCTCCCCAGCTCTTTTTGATATTTGGATTCAAGACCAAAATGCTGGCGACGAAAGCTCTGCCCATTAATTTTGAGCCATTAACTTTGCAACTTTTCATTGGAAAGTCGAGCTTTTAGAAAGCTCTCAAGCTAGTGGGTCATTTGGCACGCGATTTTTTTTGTTTTTTCGTCCAACTACTTTGAGAGAGATTTGACGGATCTATTTAGGTCACAGATATGTATTTTAGAAAGTGAATAGAAGCGATGGAAAGATCTAATTACTGGTGGCTGGTGTTATGCTGAAAGAAAAGGGACATGCTGGAATGCACGGAAGTGGATTTCAGGGGCGTAAAAAAGTAGGCGTTTTCTCTCTACAATTTTTACTCTTGATAATACTCATTATCCAAATCTGATTACTTCAGACAGACAAGCGAAATCATGCAAAAACCCATAGAATGGAATTTTGAATTCATAAAGACATCGCTGTTTCACAGGCGTTGCTTATGTCGCCTCTAATAATGCCATCGAAACGCATCAGATAATTTCTTAGCTATGTCCAGCAAACGTTGAGCTCATCTAAAAATGATTTTTGCTTATTCTACCTGATTTTTGTGGCACTGAGTTCCATTGATCGGTCGAGTAGCCGAAGACAATGAGACGCAGAAGAGAACGGCAACGGCTAACCGAAGCATCTGAAAGAGGGTCAAAATAATGTAACGAAATGGATGACCTCGCCTTAACGAACAGATTTCCAAAAAAGGCTAAATAAAAGCAGTTGCAATAGATGTTACAGCGTGTACATAACGGGCATGACAATTGCAGTGTGAAGGGGATCTAAATGTCGTCGGCCAGTTGTCCTTGAGCTCGACCCAGTATCGCGCCCTAAAAGAAGGCCGAGAATCTGGGCCATTGCGTTGTCGCGCGCTCCCTAGTCTATGTCCAGTCACTCGATCATTCATCGTACTTGTATTTCTGCGGAATTCCAGTACGGGAGAAGTTTGGCCACTTAGGCCTGAACGAGAAGTGCTTTGTGCCGCAAAATGGCTCTGCATATGTTGCAGATGAAGGTTCGTAGTGTAGTATTCGTAGCAGTACCGAACGACTCCGCTCACGGGGGTTTTCCTCCCCAGATTCTTTGGAGGCGGTGGAACAGAATGACAGTTGAAACGCCAACTATTATATATCGGTCACCCTTCGCTTTCACCGTTTTTGGAATGAGGGCGCGCTCGTTTCAGATTTCGAGATAAGGCAATAGCGCCCCAGATAACAACCCGCAGAGGTCTGAATCGCGTCGGGTTTGTCAGTGAAGAGCATCCTACATCCAACTCCTACAGAGATGCCTCGCATGTGGACTTTCATCGAAGGTTTTTACTTTTTCAGGGAAGTTGTACGGGAGAGGCTGGCACCAGTCTTCGCCCATGTTACCACCCCATCAAATGACTCATGGGGTGTGTAACTTTAGCTAAGTCAGTAATTAGGCTGGCACATCTCGCACCTAGTGTGCCTTGCCAGTGGGGAGCCCTTTCATAAGTGACTGACCTCTTGTTATAATGCTCATCTCAAAGCATAACGAGGGACTGAATCAATATTCATTAATGTCATTTTATTAGGCTAATATTAATAATAACATCGCTGTACACCTTGATCTACTGCAGCAGCAGGAGAAGCTGAGGCATCTAAGGTACCTGAAAGATGCGTTGTGTTTCTGCAAAGAGGCGGAGAGTGCCAACAAATTAATTAGCCCAGGTTCTTTCGCAGAAGCACGCTGGTAAATCTGAAGACGTATAGAGTGAAGGAGTGGCCGCGTGCCTTGTGCTGTAGTAAGTGTCTGTAAAAGATCCATATACACTGTATGATGGAGAAGGAATGGCAGGGGTAGTCGGGACCGACGGTGTTCGAATCGTAGTGCCGATGTACATGAAGGTTCATGGAGAGATTTGAAGTGTTTGCCTCGGAGGTAAGGTTGGGAGTCGTTGACATGATAGTAGCGTGTAGCGATGAGAGGCTGCGCGTGGGTCCGCAGAGAGTATGGCTGAGGAGAACCGAGTAGAGAAAGTCGCCGTATCAGCTTGAAATCATGCTGAGACACAAACACGGAAAGGTGCTGTTCAATGCAATTCTTCAGCCTAAACACTTGTTGACACGATTGACCTTCGAAGAGGGTCTGATACAAGGGAATCAAAACAAGGTGTCTAATGATGTGCGAAAGGTGATCTGCTGTTAACTAATTTGCCTTTAGCCCAGTTCGTAAGTACTTCCCGTAGAAGGTAGTTCTTCACATTTTCCAGACCCATTTTCCATTCAAGCGTGTGTTTCTGAACCTTTAAGTGACTTTAATTCTCCTAACTCTTGAATTTCCCCTTTCTTCTATTTATCAATAATATTCACTGAGCTGGAAATGCTGGTGAGAGGCACCAGCCAGCGCAGCCAATTAGGCAAGGTCGCCCCACAGGCGATCTCACCGGTGTCCCCACAGGCGAGGGCGGAAAGGTGCTAAGTGAGGTCAACTTAGCTAAATTGACATTCCCGATCGATGGGGGTCTCTGAAGTTGATTTCGCCGCATGAGATACCTTGAAAGGCAGTTGGCACGATAAATCCCCTAAGACGAGTAGGATTAATACGCCTGGCAGGACGGAATTCCGCGACCCTGAGCAGGCGCTGCATAATGCCTTTTCCAAGAGTGCCCTTATAAGGGCCCTATCAAGCCACAACATTCCGACCCAAACGCCCGCCACGCCCGCCCGCCCACAAATGGACGACCGTTCCTGACGCTCTAATCGATTCATTTGCTAAGCAAATTATGAAGCGAAGGGATTGGTATGAAGCGGCCGTGATGCTGCATGGATATAGTACACATATGCAGCCGTACCTTCGGTAGCGGTTATTGGCAAGATGCCTACAGGAAACTCGTCCAAAATTGATTTCTTTCAACATTTTCGCACTATACAGCGCCCTACCAGCATTTTAGGCCGAGCACCAAATCATCGTGCCAACTGCCTTTGAAGAAGACATTGTCACTGGATACATTCTTGCACATGGATCGCTACGATCACAAAATTAGATTTTAGGGTTTTTAACAGATTAGAAGCCTTTAATAGCTCCATCTTTGAATATTCGAGCTCCAGTCAATAAAGTAGTGTAGGATAGAACGCGGCATCATATATTAAAACATGGGAGGAATAAAGACAGAATAGTTCGTAACATCCCATACAGTCTGGGACGACATAAGGAGGGCGAGATAAGCCCACCTCCAGCCGCCTTCCCCTACCAATAACGATCGGGTATAATCGATTCAGGAAGAAATCGACCAGTGAAAACACTGTAGGGGACTATAACCGGGTATTACTACCCTCCAGCCTCATTCCGGTGCCCTTCTGGCTGAAGAAAGTGGCACGCCACTGCAGCTGCGAACTCATACACCTCGTACAAAGCAAGGACCAAGACCCGAACCCACCCCCGAGTGCCATCTCTCTGAATAAGTTCATTTCCTAAACGGTATTTTTCTCATTTCCTAAGCGGTAGCGTTCTTTTTTTGCACCTCTTGTTGCTTTAGCAGTCCTCTATTTCTTTGCCTTCCATCCTTTCGCGTCAGGACCATTATCAGAAGTACTGGTTGTCACGCAGCCCCACGTTCCCCTTTCCCTGCCATGTTATTGTGTCCTAACACATAACGTTCAACTGCAAAACGTCATTGAACTCGGAACACAAAGTGCTGTTCGTGGGAACATAGGAGAGGGGACAAGACAATCGTGGTTTGCCGCCTCGTCGCGCGCGGCGTGTGGTGCGCTGATGAGCGGCAACCTCTTGATGTGCATAAATTTCCCGATCGAAGCAGTGAATTCGAGCGGAGGCAAGACTCCATGCAGCGTGAAACTGATGTGCCTCTCCCTTTACCATCCGAATCGGATAGCCAGGTGACTCGCCTGCCAGGCGCGGGTATGGTGCAAGAGAATGGCCGCGCCGCTGAGCGACGCGTGCGACGTCGCGCCCGCTAATGACGACGATTTTAGGTGTATTGGTCGAGAATAGACAATGTATGACCAAAAATAGACATAAGTGTCTACCATGTCCTTGTCTACATGAAATCCGATGCTCCAATCGAAAGGGTTGCAGATTAAGGAAACCGCTTCGTCGCGTCCATTGCCGCGCGCGACGAAGCGGCGATCTACGATCTCTTGCCCGTCTCCCTCCAGGCGCTCGTCCCGCCCACCTGGATGGCAAGTTACGATTGTCTTGTCACATATCCGGAGCACAGGTGACCATCTGCTGTCACAGGCATCTACGTTCGTCACTCCTCTCTCTCTGTGCTCGCATTCAATCGAATTTTTCAGTCATCCATTTGGACAATTATAATACTTCTCTAACAAACACCGGGAATAGGCGTTATTTTTCTTTGTAAATTTATTAAATTTCAATTTTCACAGTACTACAGAGCGATACCATGCTAGAGTATCTATGGCTATTATTATGGAACCTTATTAAACACAGCAAAGCACATTTTCACAGACATTCCAGCGGTAAAGCTGATGAGCAAAGCATTCTGGATATTTCATACTACAATTCCATTTTGGAACTCGTAGGTATGATGTGATCGATGATGTTCAAGAAGAACTCCGTTGTGGTGGGAAGGTGACCGTCTTCAGCACCGCCAAAAAGTGACCGCATCTGAAACAATCACGATTTGGTCTCGTAGGTGAAAGTGGTCTTATGAGAGGAGCTTACCTTTCTTTGAACATGAGTCGCGAAATCAAGGAAAGTTTGCGAAAGAGTACTGGTTTTGACGACGTTGTGACAAGAGACGTAGATGTCGTTGGCCAGAAGATCACCTGAACTGGTCATCGGCGCGTACACTCCTCGTTCGCGGACCGTCGTCACTGATCGAATGACCACCTTGTGAAGTGCTGAAAAATTCAGAATACAGTACAAGTACAATGGAAGTGTCGCACTTCCATTCATCAATTCGCCGACCGCGCAGGGAAAAAGTATACCATTTTCACTTTGAATTCACGACTTTTCAAACCAAATTCACGACTTTTTGCATAAAATTCACGAATTCTAAAAACAGAAGTCACCCATACCTTACCAGACACTATTGCAAGCCCCGCTCCTATAGCCACCACACACATTTCAGAGTAGTCCTGACTTT